TCCTGATAAACATTTTACTAGTTAACTACTTTTTGATATCTTTCAAAAGAAGTGAGATATATAGGCTCAAAGTGGACGATCCGGGTGTCGTTCTATTAGAGGTTTTACGGTATATATATATATATATAAACCTATGAACCACAAATCCTAAAAACCATAGAAATCCATGAGCCCAAAATACGACTTTTTTGATGATGATTGTTTTTCATAATCTAAAAATATTCTTAGATTATTTTCTCCTTTTTGTTGGGATTTGGATGACCTTGTTTATTTAAAGTCTTAAATCTCTAAAAAATATTCTAAAAACTAGATGGCTAACATTCCTTGCTCAGACTTCCTTGATTTAAGGAACATCCGAAAAAAATTGTTTTCTGTGACGTGAAAATTCCATTAATCAGAATTCCGGAAATGGAAAAAAATGAAAAGATGTGACGATTTTAATTTGGTCACAGTTTTACAATTTTCAGAGAACAGAAATGAAAAAAATGAAAATTATTTTTGCCACTTTTTGAAATTTATGAAACATTTGAAAAATGAAAAAATCTGGGAAACTTTTGAATCTGGAAGTTTTTGAATTTCATAATTTTTTTTTTTTTTGATTTTCCGGGGTTTTGTTGTTTATGTTATCTAGATTTTTCATATTCTTCTGGATTCAGGATTTATAAAATTGTGAACTGCTGGGTTTATTTTTTCTCCTCAAATTTAAAATTTCCGAAATACTGAAAGTCCGAATTTTGCCTGAAATTGTCTGAATTTTGAACTTGTCTGAAAATCTGAAAGTCAACTCAAAACACACATTTTTTTCAATTTAGAATGTTTTTATTCACATTTCTTCGATACAAAAATATACAAAAAAAGAGATCACAAAATTTTGAAAAAATATGGCAATTATCCGTATGAGAATCGACTCGTAATTTGGCCATGAAATAGGTATACTGCAGTTTTTGGATTACTGTAGACTCCAGATTACTGTAGAAGAGGATTACTTTATCTTTTCGGTTGCTGTGGTGGGATTACTGTAGATTCAGAATCCGACGTCTTCTGAAGGCGAGACGATGACGATGGAAGCGTTGAAGGTCGGCTGGATTATTCATAGTTTCTTGATGAATATGGAACATTTTTAGTGCTGAGCAATGAGCAATAAAAGCAGAGAGTTCTGAATTGGAACGTCTTCTTTTGCGTTTTTTTATATCCCTCGCTGCTCCTTGAAGCTCCGCCCCCTTTTTCTCCGGAGACTCCGCCCACTTTCTGTCCGATGAGCAATCAGAGAAAAATACGATAAACAAGACGGATTAGAATCGAAAAGGAGCACTTTTGATGAAAAGAAAATGAATTAAATAATGGGATTTGTATTTACTTTTTTGAATTGGTAGGGAATATGAAAAATGATGGGAGGTTTTAAAGATCGGAAGATCTTGAGAGGTCAAGAATTCAAAATTTCGGGTAATTCAGAAATTCAGAAATCCGGAAGTTCAGAGATTCAGAAACCCAGAAATTCAGAAATCCAGAAATCCAGAAATTCAGAAAATCAGAAATTCAGAAATTCAGAAATTCAGAAATTCAGAAATCCAGAAATTCAGAAATTCAGAAATTCAGAAATTCAGAAATTCAGAAATTCAGAAATTCAGAAATTCAGAAATTCAGAAACTCAGAAATTCAGAAATTCAGAAATTCAGAAATTCAGAAATTCAGAAATTCAGAAATTCAGAAATTCAGAAATTCAGAAATTCAGAAGTTCAGAAATTCAGAAATTCAGAAATTCAGAAATTCAGAAATTCAGAAGTTCAGAAATTCAGAAATTCAGAAATCCAGAGATTCAGAAATTCAGAAATTCAGAAATTCAGAAATTCAGAAGTTCAGAAATTCAGAAATTCAGAAATTCAGAAATCCAGAAATCCAGAAATTCAGAAAATCAGAAATTCAGAAATTCAGAAATTCAGAAATCCAGAAATTCAGAAATTCAGAAATTCAGAAATTCAGAAATTCAGAAATTTGTGAAAAATTCAATTTTTTCAGATTTACAGAAACTCTAAAATGTTTCAATTTTCAAAAATTTATAAATTTATAGATTTTTTCATATTTTAAGATCAGATTTTCAGATCACCCTGGCTTTCCAGGTTCTGAAATTTCAGATTTTTAAGATTTTCAGAATTCCGGAAATAAAATTTTTAATGGAACAAAAATCACAAACCAGGAAATAAAATTTACAATTCAAAATATTCTTAGATTTCCAGAATTCATCAATAAGGCGTTTTAACATTCTACACAATCGTAGGAAATAAAATAAAAATCCGGTTCCCCTTTCTTCGAATTGAAAGAAATGTCTGAAAATTAAAAAATCTGAAAATCCTTTGAAAAATCAAGAATTATAGTAGTAGAGGGTGGTGGATTTTCAGATGTGTTGAAAACAAATCCAGATTATCGTTTTTCAAAATCCGCCGTAAAATTTTTTACGATCATCTTTTTGTCTGAAAATCGCTGAAAATGACAAAAAAAGTTTATAGATTTTTCATTCTGAGGTGTCTGAAACTCCAAAATTCCAGATATTTTCTTCCAGTTATATTATATTTCTTCCAGTTATATTTTCTTCCAGTAATATTTTCTTCCAGTTTTGCTGAAAATGATGCGTGGCTTTTAGGATTTTCAGATATACCAATTTTCAGTACTAAAAGGTGTCAATAACTGGTTTAGGTCCAAAAATTCCAGATTATATTCTTAAAATGCCCAAAATCTGAGACAAGGTGTCCTGGATGAGGTCGTTTTGACGTATTGTTTTGGCTGACTGGGATACTGTACTTTTCAATAGATATAAAAAAACGCCCAACTGCTAAAATAACTGCTAAAATCACCAATGACCACTTTTAAGAGTTTCAGAGCTGATCTTTAAGCCGGAAATCGTCATTTTCTGTTTTCAAATACCAAATACATTCCCTGTTTCCGGTTTAGCTATTGCTCATTTCCAAAATAAAAATTTAAAAAAAAACCAAAAAATTGAGGAAAAAAATTCAAAAACACTAATTATACGATTCGCTTCAGACGCGCCTGACGACACCAAATTATGCATGTACTGTTCGAATAATTTTGAACAGATGAGCTTCAAATTTTCCAAAAACATGAATTATCGTCAAAATTTGGAAAAAGACCCCAGAAAATTTTGACGTAGAACTCGGAACTGTGGTGCTAAAAGAGTGTTCTTGAGATACATTTTTTTTAAAACGCTGATAACTTTTTTAGAAAAAAAATATATCGAAAAAATGTCAATTGACAAAACTTGTGAAATTTTAAGACAAATATTTTGTAGTTGACCATCGTTTGATATCTCGAATCATTAAGGCTATCATTACTAATAACATTCACCAAATTCTGTATGTCCGGATGTATGTCGCGAGCCTGTTCACCCATTCAAAGTTAACCGATCGAGCTGAAACCTGGACAGATAGATCAGAAATGTGTCTTGGTTGATGCCCGAACGTTTCGTTTTTCGAGATTCTGGTTTTGAAGTCTTCTGGAGACGTTCCTTCGTTTCACCACAGTGAAAGGTGGAGGGCAGGGAGGACGGGGGAGAAGGGAGGGAGTGGAAAGCCTACACATTGTGAAACTATGAATGTCTCAATTTCCTAAACCTCGAAAAAGTATTCTTTGTGAGATAACGGGTACTGTAAGCGAAGCCCAGGAGGTTTAGCTCCAGAGGGGCGTAAACCGACTGGTTTAAATTCTTCTGACGAAAATTCGAATTTTCGATATTTCTAAAAATCGACTTTTTGGTCAAAATTTAGGTACTTAAATCAGTTTCAGCTCATTGAGGGCTTCAAAATGAGTTTGAACACAATACATTCGTTGAAAACCCCACGAAATGAAGCTACAGTAATCCAAAAATAATTTTAAAACAATGGAGAATGGGGGAAGAGTTAACATCATTTTTAAGCTCTTAATAAGCTAAAATTGAAAGCGAATTCAAAGTTTTTATATTCCAGAAAAAAAAATTTTAAATCGATAAGCGGCAACCCGAAAACCTGTATTAGAAGAGCCCGCCCTTCTATTAAAGGCCCCTTTTCAAAATCGTAACTATAAAAACATTGTCAACTGATTACTCATTTTTAAATTACAGTAATCCAAATAATCGGGGTTTTCAACTTGTCAAAGTAATGCGTCACATGCTAATCGTAGTCCGACGTCCGCAATTCTAATTTAAAAAATTTCAAATCGGAAAAAATTGAAATTAGCAAGCAGGATTTGTTTCGACAAATCTCATA